GGGGGGGGTCTCTGCAGGTCCCTTCAACCCCCAGCATGACCCTCCTGGCTGGTGGTGGTGGTGGCCCTGGGGGGGTCCCTGAAGGTCCCCCCACACCCCCCTTGTCTCTGCAGGTGGGTGGTGGCCCTGGGGGGGTCCCTGCAGGTCCCCCCACACCCCCATGTCCCTGTAAGTGGGTGGTGGCCCTGGGGGGTCCCTGCAGGTCCCCCCACACTCCCCTTGTCCCCGCAGGTGGGTGGTGGCCCTGGGGGGGTCCCTGCAGGTGGGTGGTAGCCCTGGGGAGGTCCCTGCAGGTCCCCCCACACCCCCCATGTCCCTGTAGGTGGGTGGTGGCCCTGGGGGGGTCCCTGCAGGTCCCCCCACACCCCCCATGTCCCTGTAGGTGGGTGGTGGCCCTGGGGGGTCCCTGCAGGTCCCCCCACACCCCCCTTGTCCCCGCAGGCGGGGTCACGTCCGGCCGGAGAGCGGAGGCAGCGGCAGAGGCCGGATTTGGACTGTACCCTCCTGTAGCCCCCCCCGGGGGGGTCCCCACACCCAGAGCCCCCCCGACTCCCACTCTGTGTCCTCCAGGGAGATCCCCCGGGGGTCTCTGGGGGGCTGCAGAGGAGACACAGACACAGGAGGGGTGACGGTCCGAGCCCAGCGCTGGGACCACCCCAATCCTTCCAGTGGCCTTATGAACACGGGGGTCCCACTCAGGGGGTCCCATCAGGGGGGTCCCTCTCAGGGGGGTCCCATCGGGGGATCCCATACCTCAGTCCGTGCTCCTGGACACGTTTCTAGGGGGAAAAACCTGCACACACACCCCCCCCGTTCCAAACGTTGCCTTAGCCCTTGGCAAGTAAAGGACTTGTCCCCCTGCACACGGGTCTGGCTCTGACACCCCCGGGCACCCACGGGGGGCTTTGGGGTGATGGGACCCTCCACGCCCCTCGGACACGGGGGTCGGGTCTGGGGGCCCCTCCGGGGGGTGCAGTGACGCGGCGCGGCCCGCAGGGGGCGATAGGGGGGAGTGGGGTCTATGGGGGGACATATAGGGCGGGTATGGGGGGCCCTGTATGTATGGGGGGGATTGGGGTGAGCGAAGGGTACTCGGGGGTCTGTATAGGGCCATATGGGGGGGATATAGGAGGGCATAGGGTCTGCACAGGGGTGTGTACAGGGGACATATGGGGGGGATATAGGGGGGCACAGGGCACACACAGGGCTGTAGATATGGGGTGTATATGGGGCACACACTGATGTGTATGGAGTATATAGGGGGTGTATATGGGGTGTGTAGGGCACACATAGGGGATGTCTGTAAGGTCTGTCCATGGGGTGTATTGGGGTGTCTATAGGGTCTGTCTATGGGGTGTATCTGGGGTGTCCATAGGGGCTGTCCATGGGGTGTATATGGGGTGTGTAGTGCACAGAGGGGGGTGTCTATGGGGTGTCTATAGGGTCTGTCCGTGGGGTGTATCTGGGGTGTCTATAGGGTCTGTCCATGGGGTATATCTGAGGTGTCTATAGGGGCTGTCCATGAGGTGTATATGGGGTGTGTAGTGCACAGAGGGGGGTGTCTATAGGGTCTGTCCATGGGGTGTATCTGAGGTGTCTATAGGGGCTATCTATGGGCTGTACAGGGCATGTCTAAGGGGTGTCTGTAGGGGCTGTCCATGGGGTGTATTGGGGTGTCTGTAGGGTCTGTCCATGGGGTGTATATGAGGTGTCTATAGGGGCTGTCTATGGGGTGTCTGTAGGGTCTGTCCATGGGGTGTATATGAGGTGTCTATAGGGGCTGTCTATGGGGTGTCTGTAGGGTCTGTCCATGGGGTGTATTGGGGTGTCTGTAGGGTCTGTCCATGGGGTGTATATGAGGTGTCTGTAGGGTCTGTCCCTGGGGTGCACACGGGGTGTTCTCAGCCCCGCCCCCCCAGCTCCGCTCCCCATCTCGGCGATCGATTGCTCAGGCCTGGCCCCGCCCCCGCGGCGGGGGCCGCGCTCCCCGCGGCGTTGCGGTGACGTCACTCGCGGCGTAGCGGTGACGTCACGGCCGCCGCTGCCTGGCGCGGGACGGGGGGGGCGAGCGGCGGCTCCGGGCGGCGGCTCTGCGGGACCGGGCGGGTGAGCGCGGGGGCGACACGGCCGGGGGGGACACACGGGGGGCGGGGGGGACACGGGCCGGTCCCGCCGCCCCCCCGGCACGGCCGGGCCGGGCCCTGGGCGGGCGTTGGGCGCGCACCGAACCCCCCCCCGCGGGGGCCCCCCCCGGGGCGGCGGGGCCGCGATCGGGGCCCGGCGGGGCCGCTCGGGCGGGGCCGGGCCCTCGGCGGGGCCCCCCCGGGGCCGCTGGAACGGCCTCGCACCCCCCCCGGCCCGGGGGGGGGGACACGCAGCGCTCGGTGCCGGGTCCCACCCGCGTCCCTTTCCCAGCGCTTCTCCCAGCCCCGGGTTTATCTCCCAGGCCTGGGAATTCCGGGCTGCTCCCCCTTTCCAGCTCCTGAAATCCCCCCGGGGGGAAGGGTCCGGCCTGGCCGTGCCCCCCTCCCGCGGGTGAACCCCCCCCCCCGGCCGCCGCCCGGGGCCTCTCCCCGCCCGCCCCCGCCGCTCCCGTTACCTGCCCGGGAGCGCCGGGAATTGCGGGGATCGGGAATTGCGGCACCTCCCGGCCCGCCCCGCCTTGCGAAACCGCCCGCAGGGGTTCCTCTTCCTCCCCACGGGGAGCCGAACCGCCCCGTCCCGCTCCCAAATCCCTGCTCCGCCTCGGGGCGTTCGGGATTGACCCCGTCCCGACCCCTCGGAGCGCCCCAAAAAGGGCCGGGATGCGCCAACCCACCCCCCCCCGGCCCGGGGGAGCTCCCCCAGCGCCCCTCCCGGGGCCCGTCCGAGCCTTCCCCAGACACAAAGGTGCTCATTGTGCCGCCGGCAAATCCCTAATCCCGCGCTGGGCCCGCGCCTGGCCTCGCTGTCCCACCGGGAATTGCGTGGGGATCGGCCCCGGGATGCGGACGCGCCGCTCGGGAGGGGAACGGTGCGGAGGGGCTTCTCCCTGCGCCCCCCGGGGCTGTGCCCGTCCCGGGGTGGGGGGTCCGGGGCCTGGAGCTCTCTCGGGCTGTCCCAGGAATCCGGGCTGGTCATCGGGATCGGGAGCAGGGCCTGAGTTAATGTTCACCCACTGACCTCTGACTGCAGGAGCAAAGTCCGCAGCTCGGCAGCTCCGGGGGGATTTCAGCGGCCCGGGGGGCTCGGCCGGGGGCTCCCTGGGAGCTGAGGTGGAAATCGGGGGGCCGGGGGTGTTGGTGGGATCCCCCCGGGGTGGGATCGGGGCCCCGCGGGGGTGCCGGTGCCCCCCTCACCTCCCCCTTTCTCTCCCTCCCCCCCAGCATGTTTCAGACCTTGTACAGCTATTTCTGGTGGGAACGGCTCTGGCTCCCGGCAAACCTCACCTGGGCCGACCTGGAGGACCGGGATGGGCGAGTCTACGCCAAAGCCTCCGACCTGTACATCACCCTCCCCCTGGCCTTCCTCTTCCTCATCGTCCGGCACCTCTTTGAGACGTGAGTCCCTGCCCCGAGCCCCTGTGCCCCCGAGCCCCTGTGCCCCCGAGCCCCTGTGCCCCCGAGCCCCTGTGCCCCCGAGCCCCTGGCTGTGTCACCTGGCCCTCAGCCTGGCTGGGGGGTGCCCGTGGCACCCCGGGGGTCCCATCGACCCCCTCCCCAAACCACGTGCCCCCCACACAGACGGGGCTTTGTGCAGCCCCCGCCGCCCTTATCGGGGCCCAGGCGGCGTTTAAGGAGCGATTTGTTGGGCAAACAATGGGAACAGACCCGGCTTTGTTGGGATGGCAGGAGAAGGGAGAAGGGGGGGGCCCTTCAGCGGGGCGGGGGGACGGCCCCGTCCCCCACCCTGGGGTGACACAGGGACCTGGGGTGGAGGGTCCCCTGTGGCAAAGCCCACCTCGGAGAGGGCACGGCGGGACGGGGAAACTGAGGCACTGAGGGGTCGTGAGTCACCCTGGGGTGGCTTTTGGGGGGGGCCAAACCCCGCAGGTGACAGAGGTGGGGACAAATGTCCCCCTACCCCTTCCCCAGGTACGTGGCCACCCCCCTGGCCGGGCTCCTGAACGTCAAGGAGAAGATCAGGTTAAAAGCCACCCCCAACGCTGTGCTGGAGAAGTTCTACGCCTCCACCTCCAAACACCCCAAGCAGGTGAGGGGTGGGGGGTGGCCGGGGGTGGGGAGGGGGAGGTGAGCAGCAGGGCCAGGGCCCCGTGGTGACGTCCCCGCTGTGCCCAGGCCGACGTGGAGCTGCTGTCCAAGAGGAGCGGCTGCTCCGTGCGGCAGGTCGAGCGCTGGTTCCGCCGCCGCCGCAACCAGGACCGGCCCAGCCTGCTCAAGAAGTTCCGGGAGGCCAGGTGAGACCCCCTGCCCGGTGTCACCGTCCCCCCCACGGCGGGGAGGGGGCTGGGGGGGCACCCTTTTGGCCGGGAGCCACGGCGGGAGGGTGGGCCGGGTGGGATGTGGGGCCGGTGGGTCCGTCCTCGTCCCTCCCTGCCCCCCCGTGCCCGTCTGAGGACCGTCTGCTTCCTTTTTCCAGTTGGAGATTCACCTTTTACCTTATTGCTTTCATTGCTGGCATGGCTGTCATAGTGGATGTAAGTATTGCCCCCCCCACCCCAGCAGTGCCTCGCCCCCCTGGGCCCCCTCCCCTCTAACACCCCTGTGTGTCTCCCCCTCCCCATCCCACAGAAACCCTGGTTCTACGACCTCCGGGAGGTGTGGAAGGGATACCCCATCCAGGTGAGCTCCCGATCCCACCCCCGGGATCAGGGTCACATTTGGGAACTGGGGGTGCAGGGGGGTCTCTCTGGGGTCACTCAGGGGTCACTCAGTGTCCCTGGCACCCGTGGGGGTTTGGGTGGGGCAGGTTTGCTGAGGGGGGCAGAGGGTCCCCAGGACTCTGTGCCCACGGAAGGGGATCAAACCCCTCTGGGGGACCCAGAGCATCCCCCCAAGCTGCCCCTTTGCCCTCCAGAGCATGCTGCCCTCCCAGTACTGGTACTACATGATCGAGCTCTCCTTCTACTGGTCCCTGCTCTTCAGCATCGCCTCCGACGTCAAGCGCAAGGTGGGCTGGGGGTGGGGGGTCTGGGAGGGGGGTGCACGCACTGGGACTGGGGGTGAGGGACCAGCTGGGAGGATCCGGGGACTTGGAGGGGACGTGGGATGGCAGAGTGCTGTGGGTGGGATCCAGGCTGAAAGCCCCAACTCCCCCATCCCTGGGCTCCTGTGACCCCCAACTCCCCCATCCCTGGGCTCCTGTAACCCCCAACTCCCCCATCCCTGGGCCCCTGTGACCCCCAACTCCCCCATCCCTGGGCCCTGTGACCCCCAACTCCCCCATCCCTGGGCCCCTGTGACCCCTAACTCCCCCATCCCTGGGCTCCTGTGACCCCCAACTCCCCCATCCGTGGGCTCCTGTAACCCCCAACTCCCCCATCCGTGGGCCCCTGTGACCCCCAACTCCCCCATCCGTGGGCTCCTGTAACCCCCAACTCCCCCATCCCTGGGCCCCTGTAACCCCCAACTCCCCCATGCTTGAGCTGCTGAGACCCCCAACTCCCCCATCCCTGGACTCCTGTGACCCCCAACTCCCCCATCCCTGGGCTGCTGTGACCCCCAACTCCCCCATGCTTGAGCTGCTGTGACCCCCAACTCCCCCTTCTTTTGGGCACAGGACTTCAAAGAGCAGATCATCCACCACGTCGCCACCATCATCCTCATCAGCTTCTCCTGGTTCGCCAACTACATCCGTGCCGGGACGCTCATCATGGCCCTGCACGACTCCTCGGATTACCTGCTGGAGGTACGGCCCCCCCAGCTCCCCCAGCCCCCTCCCACGTCCCCTGTCCCCCCCAGACTCACCCCCCCTGTGCCCCTTTTCCCCCCCCAGTCTGCCAAGATGTTCAACTACGCCGGGTGGAGAAACACCTGCAACAACATCTTCATCGTCTTCGCCGCCGTCTTCATCATCAC